AACCTGCGATACGGGTCCGACATCAAATCGTGCCTTCAAAAACCATGAACCAATCTACGTTGTGTAGGCTGTTCAAAAGAAGCGTAGTTCACGTTTTGATAACGAGGCATTGGTGGTGGAATGAAAGTAGAGTGAACCCCCGCTCTATGGAAATTCAAACAGTGGTCAGAGCTAGACAAACAAGGCATCAATGATACATTTGTAGCCAGTCGGCTCTACGGCTGACGACGGCGTGCATCCTTCTGTGATACGGCCCGGCTTTGCCGCGCTACCTTTTTTACATGTTTGGAAACTCAACAATTATCCGGCTTTATTTCACCTGTACACATTGTCAACACTCCTTGACCAATAGCATCGTACCTGCTACTTTCAAGTCTATGAAATGGTGGAAAGCAGTGTTGATAAAGTGCGTAGATGAGATAAAAGCCGGGTATTAGATGAACATTGAAACATACGGAAACAGGTAGGCGCGACGAAGCCTAGCAAAACCGGCAGAGCCTGACCGTATTAGAGAGTCGCGCCGGCCGGAATCAAAATGTACCTCTGACGACAGGTGTTCAAGAGTATGGCGGCCTAAACCGCAATGAAAATAGGTACCTCGTGCTTGAGGACGTGCTCCACCCACTGTGGGCTCATCAAACCACAGACATACCCAACTCTCGTATATATATTTCCCTTCTCCAACAGTTTTTCCTGATCTCCAGGCTCATTCAGATCTGAAGACCGGAATTCTACAGCAAGCACCACCCATCTCGGAACAGTAAATCCATTTTTGGGATGTCACCCCCATTTCGTCCGCTAACCACTTGTGGACCTCAACACACTCGTCCCCGGTGCCTGTACTGGTCTTCAAGTAATTCGTGAATTTTTTTAGCTTCGCCCACCCACATCAGCACAGCTCCGCACACGATGGACGCGTAAATCTCGCGTCTATAGCGGAGCTCCTGTACATCTTTGCTCGCCTTTTGCTGGTTTCAGAGGTCTGTTCTGGAACCATTTTACAGATATCTGCATTTGGCTTCATCCACCTCGTCACACGCTCCACCTACAACCCCAGTCCACTTTTCCTCCGCTGTCTAAATTGCTCTGGAACCGTTCCACAAATTTTTTTAAATTGAGCTTCGTCCACCTCGCCGCACGCTCCGCCTACAACGGATGTACCCCGCATCGACCGATAATCCCTCCTCACCACTATCACTTCTATGCAGTGTCTGGAAAGCTCTGAAACCGTTTACAGAGTTTTTGTCTGTCTCCGCCCATATCGGGGCATCCGTCCATGACAGATACCCCACATTTCTTAACCGGCAACCACTTGCTGACGTTGGTCTACATTTTTTCCTGTCTCTTGGGTGCTCTGAAACCGCTTTACAGACATTTTTGTCTGGCTCCGCCCACCTCGAAGCAGTCTCCTTTCACAACGTGTGTGACCCACATTGAACACCAAGCAGAGCAAAACCCTTAGCAACGAAGCGCCTTACATCAACTCCACCTCAGCCAGTCGCTCACTCGACAATGGACGACTAAGTAAGGCTCTCCGCAACCGCAGTGATTGTGATACGGGCGTTATGATAAGGTATCACTGCTCACATAGTGAGATATACGGCAAGAAATCAGAAGTTCGACATGCATTCGTTCCTTATTCATGCTAAGATTACAGTGATTTATCCTTCCAATGTCTTTCAGGCGCCGATGTCATTTTCGTAGGCCAGTGTTCACATTTTACGTCAAAATCACAACCCTGATGTTTCTCCCTTCTATGCTTCCCGAGCGGCGCAACTAAGCTCTCCCATCGTTTGCTCGCAAGATGTTCTTCAACACATACGCTCAACACTCTGCTCGTTTCCCGATGTATAGTGCTCTACATGCTAAACACTCGAGCTGGTAAATTACCTCACTTTGGGCGCAGTCTCCGAGTTTTCATAAGGCCAGAATGTACAGTTTTCCATGACACAACTTCGGTCATAGAGTCTGTTGCTAACCGACTGACGTTTGATTTTATCTTTTGGTATGTCCACCAAGAGAACTTCGTTGGCTAGATCTGCCCCTGCTAAGCACTGCTGTATTGCTGTTCTAAAGCGATCCGAAATAAATGGTGATTGGAGATACAACTCGTCCTCGGATCTGTTTGGAAAATGCCTGGGCCTTCGATCGTCTCGTACCATCTGTGTAGCCGTTGAATCAGCTATTTTGCCAGCCAAAGGTCTTGACTTTCCTCGCTCCTGCTTGCCAGTGAACACTCTAATAGCTGTATTGAATATGCTACGTGAAAGGGCACATTTGATCGCTTTTGAATGCGCAGATGCTGCATGGATGTGATGTTCTCAGAGCTACCTTTCCTATGCCATTCACATAATACGTGCCGTTGTGCACCCTTACCTGCACGTTCAGTTCGTGTTGTGTCTAGCATTGACTGGTTCTCTTATCAGTTACTGCACGGTGAACGAGGCCTACTCTGGATTTGTCGCCACGTATCGGTCCCTGATCGAAATGTACGTTCTAAAATCTACGTTCCAAAACTAAGCATACATTCTCTTCTAATAGAATACAGCGTCTGAAATGAAAAGTGGATCACTATCACGCGAACATAGTGCGTTTTAGACGCTCCAAGTTCGCTAAACATGCTCAGAAACCCAGACGTGAAATGTTTCGCCTAGAGAGCGAGGAGTCGCTGTAGAGAAAAAATTGGGGAAGAGCAAAAACTGGAGGCATTTCGTCAACTACTGCAAGAAAAGGTTAAGGGAGAGGAAATTCCCGATCTCATTGCTATTGAAAACAATGATAGGCCGGCGCGAAATGATTTCGAAAAGGCATCCCTTGGCGGAATATTTTCACGCTCTCTACAAGAAATCAGTTGTAGCTCATGCCATCTCCTGCCCCCCCCCCCACCTCTTCCTCATTGCGGTCTTGACTGGGTTTACATTACTACTGATATGGTGTACGAATTGCTCAATAAATTGCCGGAAAGGAACTCCGCCCGATTGCACTCAGTACATATTCCTCAAGAAAGCTGCCTTTGGGCTGGCTGCGCTTTTTAGCCTTGCTGTTTAATAATTTTTTAATGCTACCAAATATGGATTCGGACATGTGCGTCCCATTCATAAAAAACTCTCGTAATCTAGTGGGAAATCACAGGCCCACTCGACATGTTGCACCAGTAAGGTGTTGGAAAGAATACTCAGTTGCCGTATTATATTTTATCTAAAGGAAAATAGCTTCCTTTCTGAAACCCAGCCTGGTTTCCTAAATGAGCACTCCACGTCTACAGCATTTCTATAGCAGATAAGAAACATCATTGGTCCGGAGCAGCTTCCTTAAGGTCTCTCATCTGAGCTGTTGTAGACCTTTGATGTTTCTTATTTCGTTAACCACTTGTCTGGTGCGCTTCCACCAGGTGTTTTCGTAAACATGTACGCCGATGACTGCAACTTGTATACGGTTAAGAATGCTGGGCTCCTCCGAGAAGCTATCAATGCCTTACATCGAGTGGCTAGTAAATGGGACGCTCTCAATCCTCAGAAAAGACAGTTGCTGTGTGTTCAGGCAGGAACCGTCCAGGGGTTGTATTCCATTTAGGTCCGTTCGTCAGCAGCCGAGGCAAGAGCGTAAACTTGGCATTAATTATGATGACGCACTTGATGCACACGCACATTATGATGCATGTTTCATTTCCAGCATCGCTGCCAGTGCTAGCGCTAGAGCTAATTTATTTTGAGATCTTTCCAAACGTGTGATCCTTACATTCTCTTCAAGTTGTTTTCTGCCTATGTTAGGCCGCTACTTGAGTATTGCTCTCCATTATGGTCCCCCTATAAGGCTGTTCTCATAGATAGGATTGAGTCGGTTCAAAAGCGATTTACGTACCGCATTTTCGCGACGAAGGGTATTTTTCGACTGTCGCATTAGGAACGGTTACGCTTGCCAGAAGCTTTATCTCGGAGAACAACATAGAAAGTTGCTGATCTAGTATTAGAAAGTTGCTGATCTAGTATTTTGGTAAATATGATGACTGGTGAAGTTGTCTCGGCGTTACTAGGGTCCCGCTCCTATAAGCTCTGTCTTCGTTGAAGCAACACTGCTGCTTTCGGAAGTTCGTTTAATTACAGAGTTATGTGTCCTGGAATGGACTGATTGAGGACTTTTCCAAATTCAGAAGTGCCCATGATTTCAAAACTGCCTTAGTCAGATCAGTCTACATCTGATTAGCATGACAACCCTCCTACTGTTTATGATTCATTAGTAGTTTTCTTGACCACCGTTTCATTCTTCTGTTTATCTTGGTGTTATTTTTGTCTTTTCTTTGTTGGTCATATTCAATTACACCTGTCTTAGGGTATAATTATTATGTCTTGGTGGGCAGGCTCTCTTTTCACATGGTCTTTAACTGAAATTTTTGTCTAGATCCACGATATACAGTGTCCACCCACTCTCTGGCGTAACTATTCTTTTCGTTACCTGGTGAGCCTGGAGTCAGATTGTTAGAGGTAGGGAATACCTCGTATCCAAAATCTGGTTCCAGATTTGTCGTGCGTGCCCAGGTGCCCATGTCAGTGGTGTTATCTCTAGCATCATCCACCTACCATCTGCTTGTTTACTGCTTGGTTCAACAGTGTGTAGTGGTCGCTAATGTTTACTTTCTTTCTTTTCTCTTTCGCGGTTGTCCGCATCTATGGCCACCTAGGCCTTGCTTCTTGAGACCGCTTTCTTAAATTTTTACGCATTGCATAGCTTGAAACGAAGTTTGAAAGCAACCTCACCGCAACGGAAGTCGGAACCGCGCCCAAGCCCCTTTGTCTAACAAAGAGGTCGGATGGTGTCCTAGAAAAACGGCTAATCGAATAAATGAAGTGCAATGGTGTAAAAGCTTTCTTATTGTCATATGATGATAATCGCTCTTGGAGGCCTGAGTAACCAAATAATCTCAGCGGAAGCTTGAGGGTAGCGGTGTCTATGAGAACATGAATTAAGGAGAGCGGTGGTGCACGGAGCATGATCTCGTTGCTATGACTACAAAAAAAATTGGGAACAATCGAATAAACAGTTCACTTTCTGCCATTAGTCAAGTATCGCAACTTGGTCGATTCCAGGACACCATGGCTAAACGAAACACTGTTATCGGTACGCCGTTCTGGATGGCTCCGGAAGTAATCGAAGAAATCGGATATGACACGAAAGCTGATATTTGGTCATTAGGTATCACTGCAATTGAAATGGCAGAAGGTCGCCCGCCTTATGCTGATATTCATCCCATGAGGGTAAGTATTCCATGCAGCTTGCTTCTTTTAGACTGCTGACAGTTTCTTCTGATTAGCTTAGAACAGTTAACGCGCAAAGTAATCCTTTAAAATTTGGATTCCAGGCAATTTTTATGATTCCAACAAAGCCTCCACCGACCTTTAAGAAGCCAGATGAGTGGAGCCATGAGTTCAATGACTTCATCAAACAGTGTTTAGTGAAGAAGCCTGACGATCGCAAAACTGCTTCGCAACTGGTTGAGGTTCAGATATTTTTTGATGTTTGCGGGAGTAATTGTGATCAGCCGCGTTCATAGTTCACTGCTCGAGCGGTTCCCTAGCGCTACGGGGACAAACCACTCTCCACGACCAGACGTTTTATGATTTTTTTTCCTGGCTGTCATTAAATTTGCAGTTACCGCGGCCCTACGACTAGCGGTAGAGCGCGATCGGTCGCGGTCGCGCGATTCGCGAATGGTTCAAGTCGCAAAGTATGAACGCAGCCTTAGCGATATACTATTTCTTGTATTCTGCCTTGCGCCATCGCTCTTCGGAGCTTCCAGTAAGATTAGACTGGATTAGAACGCCACGTAGTCAAAATGTTAGTATCCCATGGGCGTTGATAAATGCTTTTGGAATTCACTACGCATTTAGTTCTCATGCAAAACTATTAGGCTGGCAGGAAAGTTCGTCGATAAAAAACTCAAGAAGCAAAAACTCTATAAACAAAGCGGATGGTGCAGCAGGTGGTGACCTTTTAGAACACAATTAAAGCATAGGTGTATGAAAGCCGGAGTATGAAAACGTTTGCACATTTTTTCGATGCTCAATAACAGGTGGTTGTTAACATCCTTGAAACTTTGCTTCTTTACTCGAATCGGAAGGACTTCTTTGCAGATTTGGGGACCGCTGACGAAAGCTCGAAATTCCATCATAACATTAGACGAGGCAGCTTCCCCGCAGCGCCGAGCGATGCACTTACCCAAAGTCGAAACACACCACAGCGAACATCTTCTCTTGTTTTGGTGAGTTATGATGGGGCCCATTCAAAATAGGTCGCTGAACGTTAGGAAGACTGTCATTGCTCTTGTTCAAATCAATCAGCTCCAGCGTAATTCGAGGAAAACGTTTGTGACAGTCAAACGTGTACCTACTGTCCCAAAGGAGGGTCTAAATACCGCATCGGACACATCCGGACCATCTTCAAGAAGTCGTAAGGTTCAGCTGGCGTCCGGTTGTTCACCTCTTTATTCCCTAACTCCCGTGCCATCTATGTAGAAGACCCGGTGTCTGCTCGGTCGCAGAAGCTTCACTGGCGAGGAAGCTAAATTAAAGATTATGACTACTTCAGAAAGGAATTTAGTTACTCTTTTGAGTCACAGCCTGCTAGCTTTTTAACAAAAGACACCAATGATACAATCAAAAATAAAGTTGTTGATCTTTTTTATAGTTTATAGATGTGTGGTGTTGAGGATGGTGCGTTTGAAAAAAGTATAAGAGCTTCGAAAAGAGGTTCTCGCCTTATCGACGAGCCCTATCGCAAACGTTATATTAGGAACTCTTAACACGTTAACAACAATCCGCGTTTTTATTAGGGTGTCCGGAAAGTTCTCAGCGTTTTTTCACTTTAAACGATCGTATTTTTTTAATACTCATCGGATTTAATCGAAATAGGCACCATTCTTATCAGCACGCTTTTGTTAATGTGACAGCAGTCGAGAAATCCCATCAAAATAAAAAACTGGGTGGTCGAAAATTCAGGAAATCCACAAAGGCTTTTTTGCCTGGTCCTGTTTGATGAAGTATTTCCCAGCAAGGAAGTTCTGAAAATGTTTAAAAAGGGAATATTCGGTTGGTGGAAGGCATGGAGAATATGGCGGTTGAGGTAGAACGTCACCCCCCCCAATTCGTTCAATTTGTGGATAGTGATTTGTGAAACGTGTGGGCGGGCGTTGTCATGCAAAGGAATCGGACCCTTTCTTTTGATAAGTGTTGGCTGCATCTGACAAAATTTTCGGTACAATTCGTCGATTTCTTCACAGTAAGGTTCTGCTGTGATGGTTTGGCCTGGTGATAAAAAGGTATAGTGGATCACACCAGCCGATGACCACCAAACCGTGACCAGAATCTTTTTTCGTGAGGGTTCGGCTTTGAAAATTGCCTCGGTGCTTCGTCGAAATCCAACCACTGTCCGGAACCTGCTATCATACATGACCCGTTTTTCATCACAGGTGACTATTCTGCCCAAAAACAGGTCCTTTCTGCTGCGCAAAAGCAATGCAGAAGGAACCTCGAGACGTGCCGATTCCTGCCGTTCACTCTGATTGTGAGGCACCCAATTGTCGAGTTTTTTTTTCACCTTCCCAATGCGTTCCAAACCATCTGCAACAGTGGATTTGCCAACGCCTAGCTCTTCTGCTGTCCCTCGAAGTGTTTGGGATGGGTCAGCCTCCAAAATTCCTCTAAAATCCTCGTCAGATATTGCTTTAGGTCGACCGTTATGAGGTTCACCTTCACGGCTGAATTCTTACAGAACGAAAAATTTGTTGAGACGTTGCGGCACAGTGCTTTCTCTAGCACTATGGGCCCCCACACCTGTTAATTTGTTGAGCTGTTTTCGATTGCCGGATTGCCCCAATTATAGTCGAAGAAAAAAAATCGTCGAAGTGCTCTTTTCATGCTTGAAAAAATCTTGAAAAAGGGGTTCATCAAAGGGAGTGGTGAAAAGACAATTATACCGGTTAGATAGCGCAAGAAATTCTCTACAGAGAATTGCTAGCTGAGAAGCAAGGCAGGATGAGTTTTCAATCAGCATGAATGTAGCAAAAAAACAGGTGCACAAAACGTTGAGAAACTTTCCGGACATACCTAATACTTTGCCGGCGTAGACGCGCTTCTTTTCCAAAAGCCTCTATCGGTGCCACCTTCTAACTTCTACTATACTGCAAGACCCCAGCTGAAACATGAAACTAAAAAACTTGCTTCGGAGAGTCGAATGAAGCCAAGTTGACTCTCATACGATCGACAACACTCGAGAAGTACTACCTTATAATAAGATGTACCAAGAGTGTTTATACTTTAGTCAAAAACCGCGGGTGTGTGGGATTTTCGCCTGAGTGTCAACCAATAGTGGGTTAAGAAAAGTTAAATACGCCTGATTAGGAAAACAGGTTGGGATGTCATGCAGCAGCCGTGGGAAGAAAGACGAAGCATATGCGTAGTGTCAACATGACGCTTGCCGTCAGTCGACCCCCCCTCCTAAATAAGACGTGCTCAATACGGCCTCTCCCCTGATGCCTTGCATTGAAGACTAGACGTATACAAACTTCCCCCCCCCGAGGTGCGCCCTTGGCATACTGGCGAGCTAACAGTCGGGGCCCTAGCTGTCGAAGCGGCGCGTTCCTCCGTCGTCGAACACGGGGATGGGACCGGACTGCGGGAAAAATAGGCCCAATTGCCGTCCAACTCCGCCTAAAATGGCAACTTGCGGCGCAGACACGCTGCACCCGCCAGCATATCCGCAATGCCTATCTATAAATCTATCGGCTGTGCGCGGTGGCTCCTGGTACTTTGCCAAGTCTTGTGGTATGGCTTTCGAAATAGATTAAAACGCAAACTTCTGTCAGATCTGAGGGTATACATTCTTCATGCTGCAAACCTCTTAGCCGAATGCATGACGAACGGAGAGTAGAGCAGCTATATCCTGTGCAATCTTCCTCAGAGTAGCCGGCATCCACACCATACACGAGATTTTAAATGGCCTGAGCTTCCTACCCTGATTGAAGGCCTTTTTATGGCTCTGGAGCCGGTATGAGTGCCAATTTGGCGCCCACCACTTTTTTTTCGGCCAAAGTTGATGAAAACTTGCATGTGGGGGGTAATTGATGGTCCTGATTACGAATCCAGCGTCCATTTTCGGCGTTGGCAACCCATTTTGGCGGGCATATGCGCTAATATGACCCATATTAGCACATAATTGCGCCAAATAACGCCAGCGCTCGAAAGCGGATGTTATATCCGTGATCAATCGTAAAGCAATTAACGCAATTCATCAACGCATTGCAAATTACCCATATATAGGCAACGCTTCGGCGAAAAATTTTTTTGAGTCCTTTGGGTAGGAATGCAGGGGGGCGGGCAAAAAAAGCATTTTGCCTCCATGACTTCAAGCGCTAAAGTTACCTTATTGAATTTTATCGACACTTCTACTACATGTTAAAGAGGCAACATCAAATAACTATAAAGGCTGCGTTTATTACTTTGCGCGCAGCGTAGCGTCAGCGGTACGCTAGCGTAGCGAGCGCTTGCCAGCGTACGCCACAGCGCAGTGCCGGGGGGGAGCAGAGAGGATGCATATCGATCAGCTCACCAGCCGTCCACCAAGCGGCACGCTGGCGTAGCTAGCGGCACGCTAGCGAACGCCCAGCGTTTCTCCAGCGTAATCACCAAGCGTTGTGCTAGCGTTTGCAGCGGCAGGGGAATAGAGACTATGGGAGAGCGTGGAGGGAGGCAAAACACATCGATTGCCCGGCTCTCACTCGCGTCCTAGTCTCTACAATCGCGCATCGCTCTGCGTCTTCGACCGGGCACATAGTCCTCTAAATCGCCACATCGCTTCTGCGTCTTCGACGGCACATAGTCCTAAATGCAGCAGTCGCTCTGCGTCTTCGACGGGCAGCATATCTGCTACAAGGCCATCGCTCTGCGTCTCTCACGGCCACAAGTCTCTACTCCCTGCCGCTGCAGCCGCTAGCCAAAACGCTGGGAGAAACCCTCGAAGAAATCGCAGGTGAAGCTAGATTCGATAGCTATGGCTTCGCCGTGCCACTCGCAACCGCACGTGCGCTAGCGTGCCGCTGGCGTACGCCTAGCGTGGCGCTAGCGCACGGCGAGCGTAACGCGCAGCGTGCCGCTGGTGACGCTGGTGAAGCTAGAATCGATCTGCATCATCTCTCTCGGCACTGCCGCTGCGTCACGCTGAAGCGCTACGCTACGCTGCGCGTACGGCACACGCTAGCGCTGCCGCAAGTATAAACGCAGCCAATGATCTCCGCCACCGCCTGACTGGAGGAGCGCCATCGAGAGACTTCGGCCCGCGCGAAAGTGAGGTACCGATTGAGCGAGAATCGTTGATTCTCCGCCCACTGTAGACCACCCTGTTGAGCTCCGCCCGAGCCGAATAATTGATGGGAATTTAGCTCGAACCCCCGCTAAAATACTCCATCTTTTCGCAGGCACTCACGTTCTTCCATTCCAAGTAGGCGAAAGTTTCCAACGCCCTTTCGATTAAATGTGTTGTCACCCAATCCTATAAGCCACAAAGTTCCAAGAAGGTACGGGCGACGAAATGGAGATGGGATATTCATCCTGGGTTGCTTCGATGTAGCCACCAGCGCACACCCGTCAGTCTGGGACACACGAAGAAATATGCGGTTCATCCGTTCCAGACGGCCGGTCCACACATCAACCCCGCGCCTTGGTGAATGGGGTGAAGATGATGTCCTGGACCGTAGCGACGTTGCGGGAGCTGCTCGACTGTTTGAGGTCTTGCCAGATCAAAAGTACTGGTCGCCAGTAGACCATGGGTGATTCCATTCAAGAAGTTCCGCAGCTGTTTTGGAGGCCAGGGAATCCCAAAGGCGTTCTCTCACTCAGCCGCGACTGGAGATGACTTCATATTTGTGTGTACATGAAGGTGAATGGCGGCAGCCGCCTCCTGCTTATAGAGGAAGATCTTGGTGATCTTCCGCCCTGGTATCCATATCACTTCCTCTGTCTGGGCTGCGAAAACTTCGCTCATATGTGACTCGGCCGGAATGACTTTTTTTTGGGCCCCCCCCCCGTATCCAATGGTACCACGGTTTGAATAGTTTGCAGATATTTTCAATGTTATGAATGAAGTAAATCACGCACAATAAGTTTCGCAGTAAATAGACGCTAAGAAGGTGAATCAAGTGATGCCCAGGTGTAATCCGTACGGCAAGTCAAAAAAATCAGGTAAAAACCAATGATAAAAACTTCCGCGCTTC